CAGGTGATGTCCTGTACGGTTTGAATCGCGATTGTTCGGCACCTCCCCGGCCCTGCTGAGAAATGTGTTTACATCGCCGCTATCTCTGCGTGTGCCATTCCTGTACACGGAGTTCCACCTCTGACCTCTCACCTCTGTACAATCTGCCCCGAGAACATTTCACTTTGTTTTTCCCGACTATCTATTATTTGAAGTGGAGCAAAGTTGCCAAACCGACTGCCCAACCCATCCCCCCCCCCATTCACCTCACCAAAGGTGTCGCAAGAGTGTCGGGTGTCCTCTTCTCTACACAAATGGACAATCATTTATTTATAAACGTTTTCACTCAAGATTCACACAACTTTCACCCAAGATTCACACATTCTCTAACTAGTTTCAATCGGAAAGTTTTGTGAATCTCGGGTGAATTATAAATAGTGTGTAGGTAACGCCAAAAACTGATTGCGCATCTTTAGTACTGATGATGTCATCGCTGGGTCCCTGTGCAATGGCGGCAGATCATGACTGGTGGGAGGGGCCTACAGGGTTCTGTACATAGCTTTGTGACGACATCACGGCACCCTGCCTTAGTACTCCTCTCAAGAGCCCTCAGATGCATGCAGTGGGCTGGCTCTTGGGAGAAGTTATTCAAATATCAGTTTTTTTTCTCACTTCCTCTCGGTGTCACCAGGACAGGAAGTGAAGTGAAATCATCATCATTGTGATCAGATATCGTCCTCTGACAAATCATGGAATACTCCTAGAGGAGAATTTGCCGGGACTGGAGCGGCTTTGCATGACAACCAATCAGCTTCCACCTTTCATTTTTAAATCTTAACTGTACAAGCTGAAACTCAAAGCTGATTGGCTGCCGTGCTCAGCTGTTCAGTCTCAGTAGATTCCCCGCCCCCCCCTTAGACCTCTCTGTGCTTTAACACTCTCTGTCTTGTTCCCGCAGTGCACCCCTTATGGAAAGGACCGACGGAGGTTCCCGGAGGCGCCCGCCAGTCGCCCATCGACATCCGCGTGCGGGACAGCATCTTCCACCCCCAGCTGACCCCCATCAAGACCCAGTATGACCCCAACACCTGCCTGCACGTCTGGAACAACGGCTACGCCTTCCTGGTGGAGTACGACGACTGCACCAACAAGTCCGGTAAGTGCCATGGAGCCGCTGCATGGATATTGGTCTGCAGCCCCGAGCTGCCATCTTGGATTTGATGTTGGCAGACCCAGAGATGTCACTCAGGTTACTGAGGGAATGCTTCCTCCTGCCTGCAGCAGACTGATCACTGGGGGGAGGGGAGACTGAGGGAATGCTACCTCCTGCCTGCAGCAGACTGATCACTGGGGGGAGGGGAGGCTGAGGAAATGCTTCCTCCTGCCTGCAGCAGACTGATCACTGGGGGAGGGGAGACTGAGGAAATGCTTCCTCCTGCCTGCATCAGATTGATCGCTGGGGGATGGGAGACCGAGGAAATGCTTGCTCCTGCCTGCATCAGATTGCTGGGGGAGGGGAGACAGAGGAAATGCTTGCTCCTGCCTGCAGCAGTCTGATCACTGGAGGGGGGAGGAGAGACTGAGGAAATGGTTTTTCCTGCCTGCAGCCGACTGATCACTGAGGGGAGACTGAGGAAATGCTTCCTCCTGCCTGCAGCAGACTAATGACAAATCAGAATGGCTGATGATAAAAGGTGGAGCTGTTTGGGACGATGACCCTGTTGCTGTACATGGCGACACGTGTTCATGATGTGTATCCGTGTTCCATACAATGATTTGATGATGGTGAATGACTGTTGGTTCCGACCGTCCCAATTCCTGGATCTGGACCTCTGATGGAGGTTCTGACTCTTGTACTGAAGGTCGCAGCTTGCAGCGTTTTCTCAGAATAGACTCGGTATGACAATTCCTGAGAACTCGTGTACGAGGCGTGATCGGCTCCGTGTTCTTATCTCGCCAGCACGTGGGGGGGACACGCACACGTTATGACATCTGTTTACCTTCCTCTTAACCCTTCACATACCCGATGTTCGTTCCCAAGTAAAAGTCAGCTGATCGGTTCTGTTTCCATTGCGGGCTTCGAGGTCGGTTCTGTTCTCCATTCTGGGCCGCGTCACGCCAGCGACTTAGTAGCGGCTCCGGATCTCGGCGCTCGTTCTGCGGTGACGTTCTAGCCAATAGGATGTCGCGGCTGAAACTGAGGACAATCCTTCGATAATGGGGATCCAGGGGCGTCAGCTGACCCCTAGAGATCTGTAACCTCTCCACACAGGAGAACACGGCTTCTGATAGGTTCACACTAATCAATAACACGGAAGATAAAAGAATGTCGCAATTTGTATCCTTGTAGTAAAGATACAAAGAACAAATAGATATTCCTTTATGTAAATCTCTATACTTGCATCCGGGGCTAAGGGGGTTCGGTCTGTTCCGGGGCTAAGGGGGTTCGGTCTGTTCCGGGGCTAAGGGGGTTCGGTCTGTTCCGGGGCTAAGGCCGATCTGGTCCACAGGGGGCGGTATACTTCAAGGCAGGAGCCAGCAGGATTTTTGTTTTAGAAGCTCCATTGACATCAACTAGAGGAAACCTCAAGTTGGGTTCTGGCTGCCGTTCATAAAGAGCATTGGCGCCCCGGCTCCTGGGATTTGTCCAGCCCCACGTTTCATATCATATCAGTTGATCACCCGGCCCATCATTATTTACATCCAGATACATATCAGATACAGCAGATTATCCCGCATAAGATCACTTTAACCAACGCGTTTTGTGGAACAAAGTCCGCTCTGACAGGGATGTACATGCCGTTCTTATCTCGGGGATCCTCTTATATGACGGGTCATAAACCGGCTCTTATCTCCTTATAGATTGGATATCCCCCTCCCCCGGGGTCAGTGCCAGAAAGATCAAATACCACATCAGTATGGAGGGCCTGTGCCCCCAATGAGGAAGTAAGGGGGAGTCCACTTAATGGACCGGCCCAACCCCAACTGCCGCCATCCGCCTGGCAGCATTCCTACGAGACTCTACCAGTGTTTTTGTCAGCTTAGGCGGTTGCAGATTGCTGGGGCGCCATGGTCGCCGGCAGCTACATTTCATGATTGGCTACCTGAGGTGATTCTGGAGCTCCAGACGCTGACAACGCTGAAACAGACTTTTCACCGACATGCAATGAATGTATTCCTGGCAAGAAAAATTGCTAAAGGAAGCTACAAAGTTGATCATGTGACCAGAGTCTTGGTATAGATGTGCAGGAAGTACGGCTTCGGGTGTTGCCCCACCCCCAGGCCTGTCCATTTGCACAATGGAGGAGCAGAAGACTGCTTAGATCAACCCTCTGGTCTCTCCTACTATCCGCACACGTGCACTGCAGCAGATCCTGATTGGGCCCTCGTTCTGCCCCGCCCTCTCCCAGGAGACCTAGACTAATCAATAACTGAACTCCTGTATCTGCCTGGAGTGCCGTATAACCTATTAAACTGATATCAAATATATGGAACAAATTGTTACTTTACTGTTAAAAAAAGAGGAGAATAAAGTCCCCGCCTTCCTGTCACCTCGATGTCCCCGTCGCATTATGAATGAGTGTCGCACATCGTCCACGTGACTGGCGTTGGCAAATATTTACTGCTAATAAAGCATGCATGCGCCGCGCATATTCGTCACCTCGCTGATCTGTAATCTGCACATTGTGTGTTGTGTAAACAGCCGGCGTACTCTGCCACACGGATGTTCAGATGTTCACACCGTGCACTGTGGGCACCGCGCCCATCGCTCGCAATCCGGCAGCATACAACGCCTGACATTTAAATCCCGGGTTTCCGATCAATAACCACGTGATCTATAACTGCCCCCCCATGTCATAACTAAACCGATCTGAACCAGGAAAGAAAAGTCCCTTTCCCTGAGTCTGTGCAATCGGTCAGTGTGGTGTACCGCTCCCCTCCACCTTTTTTAAAGAGACTTTTGTCACCTTCCCAAATCGAAGCATGGTGACAGGGTCTCTTTAAAGCCCTCCTGGCTTGTTACCAGAGTAAGATGGGAGATCTTCCAATGGGGACACCGATTCCAGTGACAGCTGTCTAAGAAGGGAATTCCCCTCACTTTAGAGAAGCTTCATCTCGCTCGCTTCCTGTTGTGGCACCGGGGGCAGGAAGTAAAGGAAAATCTTCCCGGTGGGACATAGACGTCAAAAAAAAAAACAAATCCATACTGACATCAGCCCCACCCCCAACCACCCATCCTGATCCTTTGCCTGCAACATTTAAAGGTTTTGGCTATGGTCGCCCTTCATTATCGGAACATTTCCAGCTTGGTGGGAGCTGTGTGATTGGTGTCAGCCATTTCCTTCTCTATGGGATAAAGAGACGTGTGTGTGTGTGTGTCTCTGTCTCTGTGTGTGTGTCTCTGTCTCTGTGTGTGTGTCTCTGTCTCTGTGTGTGTGTCTCTGTCTGTGTGTGTGTGTGTCTCTGTCTGTGTGTGTGTGTGTCTCTGTCTGTGTGTGTGTGTGTGTGTGTCTCTGTGTGTGTGTGTGTGTCTGTCTGTGTGTGTGTGTCTGTGTGTGTGTGTGTCTCTGTCTGTGTGTGTGTCTGTCTCTGTCTGTGTGTGTGTCTCTGTCTCTGTGTGTGTGTCTCTGTCTGTGTGTGTGTCTCTGTCTCTGTGTGTGTGTCTCTGTCTCTGTGTGTGTGTCTCTGTCTCTGTGTGTGTGTCTCTGTCTCTGTGTGT